TCAAAAACAAACTAAGCGATCTTTATGAAAGAACTAAGTGATCTTTACAACAAACTAAGCGATCTTTATCAACAAACTAAAAGATCTTCAACAACAAACTAAGCGATCTTTAAGAACAATCTTAGCGATCTTTAACAACAAACTCAACGATCTTTAACAACAAACTAAACGATCTTTAACAACAAACTCAACGATCTTTAACAACAAACTAAATGATCTTTAACAACAAACTCACCGATCTTTAAGAACAAACTACCCGATCAATAACAACAAACTAAACGATCTTTAAAAACAAATTAAGTGATCTGTTAGAACCACATTTTCTAGAGACCCTGTTTAAAAAAAAATATTATATTTTGCATTAATTTCTCCTCCTCCCCCCTCCCCCCAATTTTTGACAAATTTTCTCCCACCGTACCTTACTAATTTTTAAAAAAAATTGCAAAGCAATTTAAATTACTTTTATATTAAAATGGTAAAATCCAAAGTATTCATTAGATCAAGGGTCTCAAACTCAAATCATGGGGGGAGGGGGGCACAGGAGGTAGTGTCTGAATGAGAGTGGGCCGCATCAAGTAATCCACAAAAAAGCGATTACAACTGTTACAATCTGCTCAACCTTTATAAATAACAATAAAATCATTAAGGATTCTTAAGCACTACTCACTGTTGCCTGAGACCTGGCATACAAAAATATATAGAAACATTTTTAAAAAAATCAGAATTAGACTAGTTTAGTCGGTGAGATTCGACTGAAACCGTCGCGGAGAGTCACGTTATAGATATAAGAATGGGGGAAACGCCGGCGCATTAACACTAAACTTTTCTGTCATGTAGCGGGCCGCAAAATATCGTCTTGTGGATCACAAATCGCTCGCGGGCCGCGAGTTTGAGACCCTTATATTATATGGTTATTTATTAATATTCACGATTATCTCATTTTTTATAAAAAGAATGTAAATATTTATATTTACATTTTCGATGTATGCAGAATGTATGCGGGAACGAATTTCAAAATATCTTAATATTTCATTTTCGGTTTCGGCTTCGGTTTCGGCTTCGGTTTTGGCTTCGGTTTCGGCCAAAATTCATTTTTAACTTTCAGCTCTTTTTCGGTTTCGGCCGAAAGTCATTTTTTAGCTTTCGGCCTATTTTCGGCTTCGGCCGAAATCAGAAAATCACTTTCGGTCGGTCTCTACACGAAAGTGAAAAGTAAACAGAGAAGAATAAAAATAGTAACAAATTCAACAAACCTAAAAAAAATTTTTTTTTTTAAAATGCTTCCTACAAATCCCTTATAAAATGGAATATCTAGCAATGTAGGGTAAGAGCTGAAAATTTAACAAAACATACATATGAGTAATACACTTTCCAAGATTCCCAATTAGTGTCGCGCCCCACCCCCACACCCCTCCCACCCCAAATGGCTCGCAACCTCACATTTTTTCCACGCCCCTGAACTCTATCAATATTCTAATGATCCACACGCTTTTACAGATTTATTTCCCCAACTATTTTCAAAAAAATAATAATAATAATATTGTGCACCAAACGCACTGGCGATATTTTTTAAAGCATATCATTTAGCGCAGTTATTGGGAATTTCATTTTATCTTCCCATTGAAAAACATAAAAAGCTTTTTTTTTTTTTTTTTTTTTTTTTTTTTTTTTTTTTTGGGGGGGGGGGGGGGGTTAGGGTGGAGCTGAAACTTTGTGTTGTCATCGGCAACGAGTCTTTGTGCCAAGTTTCAGTTCGATAGCTTGACGGGAAGTGGGCCTATTAGACGTCCGAAGATTTTGCCAGTAAGCAACAAACAAAAGCGAAGTTAATTTTAAGGGTAAAACAAATAGATTTATCTCACAAAAATGATGATAAAATAGCGAATGACTTGCCTATATCATAAAATGAATTTATTGTACGAAATCTTCCTGGTATGTATGATGATGTAGATGATGATGACGGCGAAGATGATAAAGATGATGAAGATGATAGTGATGGTGATACCATTATTAGGGATATTTAAGTCTTCCAAAAATTTTGTAGAAGGAACAGAGAAGACACCTTTTGTTCTGCTTGGCGATGGTATTCAAGCGATGGTGTATTCTTGTTGATGGTGCTGGGTTTTTTTTTGGGGGGGGGGGGGGGGGGCTTCATGGAGGATCTGTTCAAGTGCGATCTACCAACAACTGCTGGTTGTCATGGTTCAAATGTGTGGCTATCATGGTTCAAATGTGTGGCTAACATGGTTCAAAGGTGTGGCTATCATGGTTCAAATGTGTGGCTAACATGGATCAAAGGTGTACTTATCATGGTTCAAATGCTCGGCTATCATGATTCAAATGTGTTGCTATCGTTGTTCAAATTTTTTCCTGGCTTACGGAAATTAATAGGCAATGAATCATAACTTTTTTTAGTATTCGCCAATCAAAAGCAAGATGATTATTGTTCGTTTGACAAAAATTTCGTACTTTCGTTTTTAAAGACAGATGACGTCATCAACATGAAATGTCCGTAACAACTCTGTGAGCACCAAGCCAATCCTTTTCATCAATAGTTTACTTCTTGGAATTCATCCCTGAACTGAGAATCACATCAAGAGAAGCTGTAGCAAAATCACAGAAATAAATCTCCTCACCACCCCACTACACCAACGCAAGAGAGAGAGAGTGATTTTTTTCTTTTTGTTGAAAGGATTTATAGGTCACTCAATATCAATAATGTTTTGGAATTTTGAAATGTGACCTTTTGTCATATGAATTCAAGAAGACTCATTAATTCGCGAGGGTGGGGGGGGGGGTTCGTATGTAACTTTCCCAATCTTCCACTACTCATACGACAGCAGGATTCAGGTTTGTACCGCCATTCTTTTTTGGAGCAAACAACTCATCCGGAAGATGTTTCTTGTTTTATCTCCCTGGTATCCGAAATAAACACTTCGTATCACTGGTATCGCAAACAAACACTTCGTATCACTGGTATCCGAAATAAACACTTCGTATCATTGGTATCCGAAATAAACACTTCGTATCACTGGTATCCGAAATAAACACTTCGTATCACTGGTATCCGAAATAAACACTTCGTATCACTGGTATCCGAAATAAACACTTCGTATCATTGGTATCCGAAATAAACACTTCGTATCACTGGTATCCGAGATAAACACTTGGTATCACTGGTATCCGACATAAACGCTTCGTATCACTGGTATCCGAAATAAACACTTCGTATCACTGGTATCCGAAATAAACGCTTCGTATCACTGGTATCCAAAATAAACACTTCGTATCACTGGTATCCGAAATAAACACTTCGTATCATTGGTATCCGAAATAAACACTTCGTATCACTGGTATCCGAAATAAACACTTGGTATCACTGGTATCCGACATAAACGCTTCGTATCACTGGTATCCGAAATAAACACTTCGTATCACTGGTATCCGAAATAAACACTTGGTATCACTGGTATCCGACATAAACGCTTCGTGTCACTGGTATCCGAAATAAACACTTCGTATCATTGGTATCCGAAATAAACACTTCGTATCACTGGTATCCGAAATAAACACTTCGTATCACTGGTATCCGAAATAAACACTTCGTATCACTGGTATCCAAAATAAACACTTGGTATCACTGGTATTGTAGATAAACACTTGGTATCATTGGTATCCGAAATAAACACTTCGTATCACTGGTATCCGAAATAAACGCTTCGCATCACTGGTATCCGAAATAAACACTTGGTATCACTGGTATCCGAGATAAACACTTGGTATCACTGGTATCTAAATAAACACTTCGTATCACTGGTATCCGAAATAAACACTTCGTATCACTGGTACCCGAATAAACGCTTCATATTATTGATGTCCGAAATAAGTGCTTCGTATTACTGGTATCCGAAATAAGTGCTTCATATTACTGGTATCCCAAATAAGTGCCTCATATTACTGGTATCCGGCAATTGGGCTTCATAACACTGGTATCCGAAATAAGGGCTTCATATTGCTGGTATCCGAAATGAGTGCTTCATATCACTGGTATCCCAAATAAGTGCTTCAGATTACTTGTATCCGAAATAAGTGCTTCATATTACTGGTATCCGACATAAGTGCTTCATGTTACTGGTATCCGAAATAAGTGCTTCATATTACTGGTATCCGACATAAGTGCTTCATATTACTGGTATCCGACATAAGTGCTTCATGTTACTGGTATCCGAAATAAGTGCTTCATATTACTGGTATCCGAAATAAGTGCTTCATATTACTGGTATCCGACATAAGTTCTTCATGTTACTGGTATCCGACATAAGTGCTTCATATTACTGGTATCCGAAATGAGTGCTTCATATCACTGGTATCCCAAATAAGTGCTTCAGATTACTGGTATCCGAAATAAGTGCTTCATATTACTGGTATCCGACATAAGTGCTTCATGTTACTGGTATTCAAAATAAGTGCTTCATATTACTGGTACCCAACATAAGTGCTTCATGTTACTGGTATCCGAAATAAGTGCTTCATATTACTGGTATCCGAAATAAGTGCTTCATATTACTATCTGTTCACTACAAGTTGTTCACACGGATACGGAGAAGTTGGGGACGCCGTAGAAGGTCCGATTGCCGTCTTGTTGGAGGTTGTTTCTGTATGGCCTCAATACATAAGTTCAAACGGCACTGAAAGAAGGATTAGCCGTCCGACGCTGAAGAACGATGTAAGCTGACTAACATTGGCGGATGGTGTAAGCTGACCAACACTGAATGATGATGTCAGCCAACTGACATTGGCGCATGGTGTAAGCTAACTGACACTGAAGGATGGTGTCAGCCAACTAACATTGACGGATGGTGTAAGTAGGCCAACTAACATTGACGGATGGTGTAAGTAGGCCAACTAACATTGACGGATGGTGTAAGCTAACTAACTGTGATTGAGGGTGTAAGCTAAATAAAATTGAAGGATGCAGCACTCAGCTTTAAAAAAAAAAAGCGGGCGAAATTAAGCTTTGCTTCTAGACTCTACTTTCGGTTTCGTCTTAGTTTCCGGTTTCACTTGAATTTTGCGATCCCGTTCGGGGACGAACTCTGACTGTACTTCCTCTTTTCCTTTACGCTCGGGTGACGGCTGGTCCTTATGGAAACTTCTGCCTCGGTTCTCTGGGCCTGCAGTGTTGTGAAATAAATAAAAAAGACAGTTCCTTTAAGACAGTTCCCTCATGTTGTGGTGACACCTCCCCCCCTCCCCAACCATAAAACTATTTTCGCTGCTCCTTCCCGATGGCCTTAGGCCAGTGGTCGGCAAATCGCGGTTCGCGAGCCGCATGCTATTCTTTAACGACCTGAGTGCGGCTCGGGCAGTCGGCCGCATATCGGCTTTGACTCAGAAAAACATGGTTCTAGAACAGAAATTTGGCTCTCAAAATTTTATTACTCGTTGTTATAGAGAGCCTGTTTACATCATATTTTCTCGTGCGTGCCCTCTGATTGACCCCGCATGAGACGCTGTGTTCACAAAGGGGTGTGGCTTAGGTCTTTGATGTATTTCTTGTTTACACCGCCAGCCACTGAAAATAATTAATCTGTTCCAAATAGTATTTGGTAGAATGATTGGGATTTTTCTCGAAATGTCTCGAAGGCAGGGCTTGGGCGTCGGTAGACCCACCTATATAAGGGATTGACAGGCACGGAGGAGGGACGGAGATTTCATATAGATTCTCTTAACATTACGAGGCGTGTTTTATTCTTTTGTGTATTTGTGTGCTCCTACTTATGTGTTTATTTCGCATTATTTATTGGCATCATTATTTCTAATTGTATTAACTGTGTACCGGTACGACATCTGCCATACTGTAAGTTGAAGATTGTAATTTTATTTTATTTTATTTTGTAATTATCTTAAGACATAATAAATCTTAATTAATTGTAACTAGAAACTGTTTTGGGTCGTATCTTTAATATTGTTGATTATATGGTATCGTCCTTTGTTAGGCACTGTTTACAACGAGCCAATTAAAATTAAAATAGGAGATTAATTTCTCCCAATACAAGTCAGTGCGTAACACTCGTCCTGCTACTAATTTTTGGCTGTTTTGACTGAGTTTGCCGAACACTGCCTGAGGCGACCACTGTGTTAGGGTCGTTCGATTCACAAGTTGATAAACGCTGCTGTAAAGCTTTTCATTTTCAAGTTCTCACATAATGACGTCCAGATAGATTTTTTTTTGTTTTTAAACATAATCTCATTTTAGTTAAAACAGTTTTTAATTATATTGATTGCTTACAAACGCTTTGAGATTGATTCTATGCAAACTCAATTCATTTGGTTTTGAAAAAAAATAATTCTTCACGCAATAAGTTTTTGTCATGAGTTTCGTCGCTTTTTTTGTTTATTTTTCTTTTTTGTTTTTTTTTTCTTTAGTTCACAAATGCCGATATGGTCTAATTTGTGTGCTTTCTTATTTTTAGAAATAACCATAATCCATTAACCTTCCTCATATAAGATCTTTATTAGTTGCGCGGCTTACCTGGTTCAGGGTGGTCCCCCATTTCATGGTATACGATGTATTCTGAGGGGTTAGAAAGAAAAATAAAGGATAAAACAAAACATTTTTATTTTAAAACAAGTAGTAAGGGTGCCCCCCCCCTGCCCCCCACCCATAAACGGTGGCCAACCTTTTCACACTTGCGATTAACTGATTGTTGGGTATTTAACCAGAGACAAAAGTACTGTGGTAACTTATTCAGAAACTAGGTGCCTATGTGTGTGTGGAAAAGGTTGGGGGGGGGGGGGGGATATGCATAGTTTTTGCTTTCATATTTTTTACATGAATGGCTGCCAGCATGTTGATGTGATGTCAAGGATCTTGATGTGGTTGTAAACAGGCATTATCTCTAAGATCATTATGTCGTTATATGAACTTTGTGTTGTTTATGTTACACATAGCCGTAATGTCGATATAATATCTAGGCTACAGCAACATGTTATTTTGATTAAGGGGCCATTTTTATAGATTAAAACTGATAATAAGATATTATGGCAGTCGCAGACAGCCCCATACAGCCGCATACAGCGGCATACCACTACAGACAGCCGCAGACAGCCGGAGACAGTGGCATACAGCCACATACAACTGGAGACAGTCACAGACAGCCTGAGACAGCGGCAGACAGTCGCAGACAGCCACAGACAGTGGCATACAGCCATAAGACAGCCGCATACAGCAGGAGATAGCCGAAGACAGTCGCAGACAGCTGCAGATTATTTAAATATTTTTATAACAACTGATGTGTTGTTAATAAGGCCCAATTGCGAATGCTTTACGCATGGGCCCATGATGTTGACGTCATACGGATGGGCCCTTCATTCGGTTGTGATACCCGAAGGCCCCTAATATGGTTTGTGTTAAGCCTGAGACCCTTATTTAGATAGAGTAATAGACAGGTTCCATACATCATGGAAGTCTCTATGCTGGGTTTTTGTGCGTGCATTGTTCATCTACTTACCTAACACTGACAGGAAGAAGAAGAAGGCCACCATGAAGGTCAGAATGTTTCCCACGCAAGCGAAGAAATTATTGTTCCTCAAATCTGATGGGATGAAAAGAAATTAACGTTTTCCTTCAGATCTTTGGATTACCTACCCTCAAATATCTAGTTTATCACCTACCCTCAAATACTATTTTATTACCTCATTTAAAATATATATTTTAATACCTACCCTCAAATATATATTCTATAACTTCACTTCAAATATTCATTTTATTATCACCCTCAAATATCTATTTATTACCCACCTCCCAATATATATTTTATTCCTTCCTTAAACTATATATCTTGTCACCTCCCCAAAAATATATTTTTTATTACCTACCCTTAAATAACAATTTATTTATCTACCATTAAATATCATTCTGTTGTAATTGCCGACCATCAAATATTAATACATTTACCTATCACCACATATCAAATTAAAAATATGTAGGTTTTAATACCATAAAATAAGGGTTCAATTAACTACCACTCAATCAGATATCTATTAATTTAAATACTAACAAAAGTGTTTATCAATGATTTAAGCATCTTAGATTCACCTACCATCTAATTTCCTAGATTCACCTACCATATAATATCCAAGATTCACCTACAATCTAATATCTTAGATTCATCTACCGTCTAATATTTTAGTTTCAGCAGCCATCAAATATACTAGATTCGCCTGCCATCAACCATCTTAAAATTCCATACCATCCCTATTCTTTAAAAAATCGCCTACCATCAAACATCTGATTTTTTTTCTGGCTAACCATCACACACTGGCAGCCGGGGCACGCGAAATTGGGGAGGTTCTCACACGGAGGCGGGCAGATCTCCGGGGTCCTTCTGGGGTAAGGGCTCCTGCATGGTTTCCAGTCATCCTCCCTCTGGTACACGGTGTACTGGGGCTCGCAGTCGTCCGGATACGGCTCCCGGCGGTACACGACAAACTCATCACAGGGGACGTTCTTTTGTAAGCTGTTTCTGGAAGGGCTGCCCATAGCTCGTTCGAGGGTAGAGCTACTGCAGGACCTTAACATCGGCGCCGGATTTGGTCTACATTGAATGTGGGGGTGCCTTCGACGCTCCATATAACTAAAATAATGCACAACTGCTTGATAAGGGGGGAAGACATTGGACTAATCGGAAGGAATGTTAAAAGTGAAACTGGGATTTATTTTCCCAAACGAAACGCTACATTTTTTTTATAAAATTAATTTAGTTTCAAGTTTCTATTTTTTATTTTTATTTTTTTAATATGTTTATGTTTCGCAAATAGAAGAAATGGTCCCCCCTTGGGGAGTGGTAGCAAATAACCACCCAAACGACATCAACAAACATTTTAAGTCAATGAGGTTTAAGAAGTACAATATTTCTTTCGGTAACTATTTCGATTGCAATTTTCTGACGCACTTCCCTTTTGGTGCTTTAAAATCGTAACTTCCGTTTTTAAGTTGTTCTTGGTACCAAAGTCCGTCAAAGTCTATTCTTCTTAATACATAGGTTTTCGACATCATATTTAATCGCATTTTAATTCTTTTTTTTTTCCTTTTAATTTAAAAGACATTTTGGCTTAATCTTGTCGCCTGTAAATTAAAAGAGGTCGCTAACTCCATCTGTCGACCATTATTTTGGATACGTTCCAAGTGTGCTATATTAATTTCCAGGACAGACATATTGTGTACCCACGCTGCAACCTACAATGGTAATTTTTTTGTTCTATGTTAACATTAACGATATGGAATGTCGTAACTAATTGCTTTTATGCCTTTAACCAGAAAAAAAAAACAGTTAAGATTTGTTTAGCCAAATGTTTTAATATTTAGCGATGTCTTGCAGACTAGCGTAAGATTGGAAGGACACGGTTTACTGATTTTAAATTCAGTTTCTTTTTCTTTTGTTTTGCTTTTGCACTGAACGGCCATTTTATTTATATATGATTGAATTATACACCATTTTAAGCTGAATTTCTTCATTGTCAAGTCACAGCTGAGAATCTGGACACCCAAAAGTTGAAGGAAAGGTCTGCGTAGAAGATTTTTTTTTTAAATGGAGGGGGGGGAGGGGAGGGGGGTGAGGAAGGCACGATAGTGATAGTTCCCTTATTATTGGCGTTTGGGGTCAAATCGATACCAATAAATGGCTTTTGGGGAGGGTGACTATAATAATAGTTGATTGTGATACTTACAATTGAATTTACGGTGTCAGATGGATGACACAAAAATATTAATAGTGAATTCTTACAAATTTAAATGATGTTTAGGGGGTCCGGGGGGCCGGGGTATCCACATGCAATATTCCTTCCACCAGCTGTGTCCGTCACATGCAGGCGTCTTCCATCAGTTGAGTCCGTCATATTTCGTGTGTCTTCCACCAGCCGTGTCCGTCACATGAAATTTGTCTTCGACCAGCTGTTTCCGTCACATACAGTGTGTCCTTCACCGGATGTGCCCGTCACATGCAGTGTGTCTTCCACCGGCTGTGTGTGCTTCATGCAATGTGTCTTCCACCGGCTGTACCCGACACATGCAGTGTGTCTTCCACCAGCTGTGTGTGCCTCATGCAATGTGTCTTTCACCAGCTGTGTGTGCCTCATGCAATGTGTCTTCCATCAGTTGTGTGTGCCTCACGCAATGTGTCTTCCACCAGCTGTGTGTGCCTCATGCAATGTGTCTTCCATCGGCTGTGCCCGTCACATGCAATGTGTCTTCCACCGGCTGTACCCGTCGCATGCAATGTGTCTTCCACCAGCTGTGTGTGTCTCATGCAATGTGTCTTCCACCCGCTGCATCCATCACACGCAGTGTCTAATGTATTTTTTTTTAAAAACGGCTTCTCTTATCAAAAAAATACCCTAAGTCCATCGAAGGAAATATACGCTGTTGTAGTCACAGCACTGCAAATCGCCTGGGATAATTTTTGTACTTCTCTGTTTGTAACACAGCACTGCAAAATGCCCGAGAAAATTTGCACTGCGCCCTGTACAAGGACAGTAGAGTGCTGCCCGCAAAAATCAACCTTTGAAAGTGAGTCAGTGGTTTTGTTTGTGTTGTATTTAAATTTAGAACACTCCACTTGTGTGAACATCTCGTGATGTAATGAATAAGATAGCCACACGTTAATGGGAGTATTCTTTTAATGGATTGCAAGGATTTAAACACATTATTTATTTCCATAGAAAAATAAATCGAGGATCCGTCAAACTATAATAGATGTAAGCTTCATGTTTGTATTTGTTTATTCGTTTCTTTGTTGTTCTAGTGCAGCGTTCCCAAAAACGGTGGTCCGTGGACCGGCACCGGTCCGCAAGCTTTACGTTACCGGTCCAGAGAGCATGAATATTGATGTTTAAATAGAAAGAAAATGTAATTAGTAAATCTGGCGCCGGTCCCTGGTGCAGTTTCGAAACTTGTCCACCGGTCCATGAAACATAAAAGTTTGGGAAACGCTGGTCTAGTGGTCGTGGGGGTGGGGTTGTAAAAAAAAAAGGGGGGGGGGGGTTTGTTTTTAAAAAAAAAGATATATTTTCCATTTCCAAAGACATCGTTAAGGAACTGGTCAAAAAAAAAACATTGAGATCCATTGGCTTTTTTTTTTTTAATTTTTCGAAAATAATCCTCAGATTGCCAGAAATGTATCC